CCTCCTCCTCCTCCTCTCACACACACTCTGCTTCTGCTTCTTCTCCTCTGCCTCCATGTGCTCTCGCTTCTCAACCAACGGGTTTGTGCATTTCATGCCAACCCGTCGGTTCCTTCAAACAGAAACTGAAGGTGTTCTAGATGGAGAGAAATGTTCTAGATGTGTCCCAGACTGCTAGGCTAATTAGTTCCCAGTCCCAGATCGGGTGACCCGGTCACGGTGCCACGGTGAGCCGCGGCCCGGCCCGGGCAGTACGGTACACGGCACTGAGTCCGATCGTCGGGCCCCGGTCGCGTCAGTGTCCGACCTGGTCCTGGACACTGAGGCGACGGGCCCCGGGAAGTTGTACGAGCCAGCCGCCCGGCGCAGCAATCCGCCGTGACCGTCACGCGACGGGCCGGTGCCCGGCCGGCGGCGCCCGGCCCCCGTGACCGTACGCTGCCGGAATCGGCCCGGTCACTGACAGTCGAATCGAAAGGTCATCCAACGGCGTGGCACAGACACCACTGTGACTCACGCGTATGGCAGTGATGATTAACGGCTACTAGTAGTCCCCCCGCGCTGAACTTCGGAACTTCACTCAACTGTCGAAAGTTTTAATGGCACTGTACCTTGCAACTTGCCATTCCGAGGGCCCAGGGTCCCACTGCGGGGCCGCCCGGCACCCCCCCCACCCCCATCATGTGACTGCCTGACAGTATACTGAGGTGACGGAACTCAGTGGAACTTTTACTCACTTGCAGTGATCCGATCGGATCCCCCCAGTGAGTGAGTACTCAGTCAAGGCTGACTCGTTAGGCTCAGTGGTGACCATGCTACTAGGTGACCCATGGGGTACTCCCACCCCACCCCCCATCTGCCCCTTGCGGACCCACCGGCTCCTCTGTGATCCTCCGCACCCGGAATGGCCAGGTACTACCCCCCACCCCCGTCCGTTAGGATAATTTGCAAGGAGGAAAAAAAAACCGAAACACCTCTCCGGTACGGGCAGTCGAGATGGGGTGAGGGGTGGAAGATTGAGATGGGGGGTACCTGAAGGAGGGGTAGTTGCTTCCGTAGCGGCTCTCCGATTGAAGCGGCAAAGTAGGGGTGCTAAATCAATACCAAAAGGGGGGTGCAGGGTCATTTGATTCGATTTGACAATCGGTTGTGACAATCGAAAGACGTTCCTAGGGGGTACATTCAACGTCTACAGGGGGTGGGGTGGGCCGATCGACTGGGGAAAAGAGGGTAGGGTGGGTGAAGGTGGTACCGTGACAACAGCCCCCCGTGACAATAGATTCAGGAAAGCGGATAGCCTCGAAGGATTGGAATGCGAGGAGAGGGAAGAAAGGAAGGAGAGAGAAGCGAAGAGGATCATTGAAGAACAAACGAGAAGAGGAGAGAGGGAGGAGGAGAGGAACAAGGAGATCCGATCAGAAGAACAAAGGAAAAGCCCGCAAGAGTTGTAGGAGGAGGTAGCAAGGTACTGGAGTAGATTGAACTTCAGCAAGGTCACACATTCCTTGAGTTAGCAGAGCGGATAGAACAAATGAAGACGATAGAGCATCTTTTTGGTGAAAGAAGCATTCGTGCAAGATCACGTCTTGTGCTGTACCTCGTTTTCTTTCTCCTTGCACAACCAGCGGCAGCCCAGTTCGACGAAACTTCTCTAGAACTTTCTTCAAGTTCGAGCACACCGCAAATGCCCTCAACCACCAGCTCGATAGAGGATGCAATGGTTTCTTCAAGCTCAAGCACTCCCATCCCTCAGACTACATCTATCATCGCAGAGACAAGCCAATCAAGCACCCCTATCAGTAATGTTGATTCCACCTCCTCCGACTCTCTCGAGTCATCCAGTTCCAGTACTCCAGCAGCAGAGGAGGAAAGCTCTAGTACTCCAGCAGCAGAGGAGGAGAGCTCTAGTACTCCAGTCCAGGAGCAACAGATCGAGTCTACCTCCTCCAACTTCATCGAGTCGTCCAGTTCCAGTACTCCAGCAGCAGCGGAAGAGACTTCCAGCACCCCAGCACCGGCAGACGAGAGCTCGAGTACTCCCCCAGCAGAGGAGGAGAGCTCTAGTACTCCAGCACCGCAGGAGGAGACGTCCAGCAGCCCAGCACCGGCAGAAGAGAGCTCGAGTACTCCCGCAGCGGCCGCCAAGGAGAGCTCTAGTACTCCAGTACCGCAGGACGAGACTTTCAGCACTCCTTCAGCAGCGGAGGAGACATCGACTACGAAAGCAGAGGACGTCGTGAGCACTGCTACGGCCGAGACATCACTGATCTCAACGACACCAACTGCAGCAGCTGAAGTCTGCGGGGACGGAGTGATCGAGGGCGGAGAGCAGTGCGATGACGGGAACACTCGAGCTCGAGATGGATGCGACGCTACATGTCACGTCGAGTCCTTCTGGAACTGCTCGGTGGTCCAGGAGGCCTCCTCCTGTCAGTTGATCAAGACGCCCCAGTTCGAGTCCCTTCAGGTGTTCTCTTCCATCCAGTACGTCACAGCGAGCAACGCCATCACTCTTAACCTTCATGCCAACTTCGGCTTCATCGGCGGCTCCTCGGTCACTTTTAGCGGCTTCCACGGGTTTCACTCCCCTGCCTCCTCCATCCAGGTCACTGGCGAGCATCTCAGCTCGCAGGGGGCGTGGGATGACGTCAGCAAGGAGCTCGCGGTAAAGGTTCTGCACGACGTCCCTTCCAACTCCTCTCTCTTCTTCTCCTTCATCCTCGAGAACCCTCCCGTCCAGCAGAACTCCTCAGCTCTCTCAGTCTCCTGCTCCAACTGCGTCCTGGAAGTCGCCAACTTCTCGGTCATCCAGCACGACTTTGCCTCCCTGCCCGCCATCGTCACGCTCCCCGTCACCAGCTGCCCTCCTCGTATGTTCGGCGATAGTTGCGAGTTCGTCTGCTGGGGGATCGTCGTCGCACGTTCGTGCGTCTGCTCTGAAGGTTTCTTCGGCTTCGACTGCAACCAGAGCGCTGTCTTCGACGCCGCCAGCTCCCCCCCTCCTCGCCGTCTGCAGGCTACAGCAGGAGGAGCGGTCAGGAGCGCGGCTGGTGTGGGGGTGCAAGTCCCTCCCTCGGCTCTCAGCTCGGACCAGACCATCAGCGTCAAAGTCTTCCAGCTCGACAAGCCTCTCGACCTCGGCATCCAGGCCTCCTCCCTCGGCCCTGCTGGGCCTGTGCTGGACTTCGGCCCTCCTGGGCTGACATTTCAGAAACCTGTCAGAATCTTTCTGCCGTTCGACCCCTCGCAGGTACCGGCGGGGCATGAAGTGCACGTCTACTACAAGGACGAGACCAAGTTTCCTCCTTGGGTGAGGATGGAGGGAGGGCGGGTGGAAGGGAGCAACCTGACCTACACCGACACCCTCCACTTCTCCTCTTACATGAGCATGTCCTCCAGCCCCTCCTTTCCTCCGCTCACTACAAGCTCGACGCCTGCTCCTCCCGCCGCCTTCCCCCTCAGCAAGCTTGATCGGGACAACCTCCGGGTGCTCGTGGAGGTGGCGACAAGCGCCAGCAACTTGAGGAGTTTGTCAGGGCAGTACTTGGAGGCTCTCTCCCTCCTCTGCAGACTCAACTTGCAGGACATAGGGCTGTCTCGTCGCGTGGAGGAGAAGTTAACCTCCTCCGTCTTCACAGTCTCGCTCCGAGCTGACGACCCTGCCTTCGTCAAGCGCGTCCTCTCCGTCGCTTCATACAACGAGGAGCTCAAGGCGGTCAACGGCAGCCTCCCCCTCGTCGTCGCCCTCTACATCCAAGACATCGTCCCGGAGAACCACCTGGGCCTCATCCTCAGCACCAGCATTGTCGGCGGCCTCGCCTTCACCTTCCTCTGCGGCTTCACCGCTTTCATGGCGAGCAGGAGGATGAACAGCATCACGACGGAGGAAGACGTCCCCTCTCCTGTTCACCTGCGGAAGCTGAGCAGCAGCAAGTCTTCAACCTTTGCCACCCTCGTGATTCCGCTCAGTATCACGCCAGTAGGAGACGATCACTTTCCTCGATCTCCCCCCTTCCTCCGCGTGGAGGACCTCGACGACGAGATGCTACCAGGAGCTATGGAGGAGACCTCTCCGCCTCATCCTCCTCCTCCCTACGGTTCCCTGGGGTTCGCCTACGTGGATCGAACTTCCTCGATGGGCACAGACGAACAAGGTTCCAGGACGCCACCGGAGAGCATCGCATGAGGGCCTGGCGAGCTACAGCAAGAGGGACTGAAGATGACTGCATGTTGTACATTCTTTGTAAAGCTCTTAACTCTTAAAACAGTGCCATGTTATCCTTCCGCACTTCCCTCCCTCCCTCCCGTCTTGCTGCAAGCTTTCGCCTTTCATCTCTCGTCTCGCCGCAAGCTTTCGCCTTACTCATCCTTCTTCTTCATGGATACGTGAGTCCCGTCGCAGTACGGTGGCGTATTGGTGTACTTGCATCCGCACAGTGCGGCCTTGACCTTCTGTCCTCCTGCTTCTCCCTCCGACGTGAAGGCCACAGGCTTGATCCCGTAGGCTCGATGGCTCTGACCATCACAGAACGGCTGGCGCGTGCTCACGCCGCACTGAGGAGGAGGTCAGCGGCACCAGTCTCTCTTCCTCTCCTCCCCTCCGTTACCTGGCACCAAACGTACTTGGTCGCCGGGTCGAGCTCAAGCACGTAGGCCTCATACTGGGGGCTAAGCGGGTCCATGACCTTCTGCTTGCCGATCCATTCCCCCTTGGTCTGCAAAACAATAAAAACCTCCTCCTCCTCCCCCCCCTCCTCCACTTGTCCCTCCTCCTGCTCCCCCTCCCCCTCCCCCTCCCTCCTCCCCCCCCTTCTCTCCCCTTCCCTCTCCCTCTCCTCTTACATCCGTTCCCCCTCGCCGGATTCTGTCCACCATGCCGGTTCCAAGGCAGATGCCACAAATGGTGACGCCCTTGCCGTCACAGAGAAAGCATTTCTCGTCTGCAAGCTCCCTCAGCCCTCAGGCGCAGGCCTCCATGTCCCTCACCCGACCCAAGAGCGACATCCTTGCCTGACCCGCCGCAAGAATCGCATTTGATGTTGCCGTTATCACAGAAGACGCACTTCTGAAGAGCCTTCCTCGAAGAGTCTTTCTCCTTCACTTCCACAATCTATGATAAACGTGATCCTCCTCAAACAAGCTTTCTACACCCTCATCACCTTTAGCACGGCCTTCTCCCACATGTTTCCAAAGAAATTACCACCATCAGCCATCCGAAGTCCACGGGTCGCCTGCTGTGATCGAACTGCTGCAGCTGCTCTCTTGCCATTGTGGAAGGCAGCTGGAGGGGCAAACGATGACACCAATTGAACAAGGAGCGCAGCATGAAGAATGCGCACATGCAAAGCCCTTCCTGCGCTAGCGACCATCTTCTGTAGAGCAGAGGCCAAGTCAGAGTTCATGTAAGGCTATCATCTATCATCAAAGAGCACTGGGTTCTTCTCATAACGTTGATGAGCAGCGGAAGCTCAGCAGTCGCTCAATGCTCCATGAAACAAGCATCTCCTGTATGATTTCACTCCTTTGTTCCCACAGCACCTGTCTTTTACTCCACTATCCCAATAAGATTCCTCAATCTTGACCATCGCTCGCTCATACATATATGCTGTCATCCTGCACATTTTACCTTACTAACTTGTGTTTCCCTCTGGTCTAAAGCAAAAAGTTGGCATGAATGGTATGTTTCCTGCTGCCATCATAGAATACGCAATAGCAAATCTAATCATTCACTGCAATACTCCACTGACCCTCATCTTAACTCTTTCTCTCAATAGAATTTCAGGTGTAAGCCCACCTCATTATTTTTCTTCACTTCTGCTGCTCCTGCTCCTGCTCCTGCTCCTGCTCCTGCTCCTGCTCCTGCTCCTGCTCCTGCACCTCCTGCTCCTGCTCCTGCTCCTGCTCCTGCTCCTCCTGCTCCTCCTTCACTGCACCATTCTCGCTGACCCAACGTGTCCATCCCACTGGCCTCAAGTCCTTCCACCCCACCCAGTCTCTGCAATGATCCACCCTACCTACTGGATCCATCCTAGATGGTGCCTACCCCTTCTTTCAGACCCCTTATCGATTTCTACCCCCTAGTTCTTTCAATGACCCGTAGTTTTGAACTTCGATTTTCCTATTGACACATGGTCATTCGTACCCATTGACAATCTGATTGACATCAATGACTACCCACCCCAAAGATAAAAACTACCACCGGGATCGCGTTCTATACCCTACCCCATCCTCTTCCCCGGCCCTCATTCCTGTCACCAAAGTCGTCAGTTCATTTCCGACCCTCAGTCCCGGAGCCGGGCCCGGGCTTCACTAGTGCAGTGCCGCCGGTGCCTCCAGAGTCACTCAATTTAACCCGGCAATCAAGTTACCGTACAAAGCCAATCATGTGACTCAGTCAACTTCAAGCCGGCCTCCCTGTCCTTCGGTGCGATCATCGCAGGTGCGGTCCGGTATGCGTCTCATTCCTTCGGCGGCGGCCGCAGCGACATCCGGCTGGCATCTCGGATGATGATGGCGCGGGGGGCTTGTCCCGGGCCGCGGCCGCGCGCAGTTAAGTCAGTCGGAAGGTTACCGTCAGTTAAGTTTGGGGGACAGCAGTCCGATCGGCAGGATTGGGTTTCAAGTTTGGTTCTCGCTGTCTTTTCTCTTCTCGCCGTTTGGCCTGTGCGACAGGCCCGTACAGTGTGCCAAGGTCAAGCCTCCGAGGCTCGTCTCTCCTGACGGTCCTCGGACTGATTTTTAATTTGAACTTTGCAAGTTTGAGTACAGTACATGACTGTTCACAGCAGCCTGCCCGGCAGGCCCTGATTTCTCTTCTCGCCGGCGCCGCAGTTTGGCCTGTGCGACAGTGTCAGGTCATGACGGCAGTGACGGTGGCACCTGGCAAGCGCGGCCTCCTCGACTCTCCTGATTGTCCTCCTACTGATTTTTAACTTAACTTTGAGTAAAGAGACTGTTTATAGAGTCAGCCGTACAGCCTCATAGAGTCAGTTACTCAGAGAAGCCTGTTACCGTGACGGTGATCAGAGTGGCGGGCCGGGCGGACTCAGCCCACACGGACCGGGCCGCGCCGCGGCCCGACCGGCCCGGCCGCTCAGCGGCGGCCCGGGCGGCTGCGCCGCCCGGCCGGTCACTGGTGCGGGCCGCCCCGGGCCCCACCGTGGCACCGCCGGTGACTGTCCTGCCCGGCCGTACCGTACCGTACTTCCGCCGGTACCGTACGGTCTCGCCGGGGCGGCGGAAATAGCATTTTTTTGACCAGCCACCATTTTGACCATTCACTACCCCTGCAATCCCCCTACAATCTCCATTTCGAAAACGGGGGTAGGGTACTAATTTCATGGACCCACTCATCTCCCATAGTGCCATGTCTACCCCAGGGAATGCCTAATCACCACCCCCTGGTGCAGATACGCCCGCAGGGACCTCCCCCTTTGTACATGCCCCTCCGGACCACCCCTCCATGTTAGCCGGCCTCAATTCTGATCACCCCCTTACCCCCCAATCTTAGTCGTTAGTGCTTCTTTGCGCCTATTTGTTCTCTGCAAGTGGCCACCCTGTTGTCCAGCGCCCCACCCCCACCTCTTCTACCCATTCCTTTCCACCCCAACCCACTCTTTATGAGGATGTTTGTAACCCCACCCCCCAATTGGACTCCAATCCTACCAGGCTTGAAATTTTCTACCCCGATGACTGAGATTGACACCCCACCCCATCTCAAGGCCACAAAGCCACCCACCCCCTATCGAGAAGCACTTCCCACTGCAGATTTTCAGTAAATTTGGGGAGCGACGATTTGAAAGGGGAAGAGGGTGTATGGGAAAAGGTGGGTAGGGGTAGAAGCATGAAATGAAATCACTGGCGATTTATAGGGGTAATTTGTTATGAAAAGAAGGGTAGGGGTACGATTTGATTGGAAAGGGGTATGGTGTACACTTGTGTTCCGAGAAAAGGGGGTTTCACGGGGTGGGGTGCAGTGGGTAATCCGGTCAACAAGGGAGGGTGAAACTACCCACAGAGAAGGGGGTGGTGGTGTTTTAAAAACAGATTTTCCGAAAAGTACAATGGTACAGCTTTCAAATTCTTGGTAGAAATGTTATATATTTTTATAAACCTTATATACGGAGAGAGGCCGAGAACGATTACCTCACTTGCTCACAAAAGACTTTTATTCAAGATATATAAATATTTACTACCTGGAAGAAAACTACATATGCAAACTATTGGCTCAGTTTTTGTACTTCTTGTATTTTAGTTTTTGTACTGAAATTTATTTGAGGTATACAAAATACAAAAGGAGTATTTTATATAATTGATGAGGGTAGGGGTCCATTTTCCTGGGGGATTCGAAGGGGTACATCGTGGAAACAAGAGGGGTGGGGTAAGCAGCGTCAGGGACCAGCGTACTTATTGGAAAAAGTGGGGGTAGGGGTACAAGGAGACCTACAGGCCGGTTCCATGGCTGAGGTTGCGGTAAGAGTACCCGGAGGTGCAAGGCCATCAAGAAAGGGAACGAGGAGAGGAGGATAGAAAACGATGAAGATTCATGTCCGCAACGTGTTCGAATGGTGTACAAGAACACTCGGGTGAAGATTCTTTGATGCCTGTTGGGGAGTAGGGTCATGCCAGTAGGGAAGGTGGGAGGCGTAGTGCGCAGGAAGAGGAAGATAAAGAGACTCGGAGCAATTCATAGTGTAAAACCTGGAGACGATCGACACGAACTAGAAAAACTGAACAACACGAGGAGATACGATGCGAGATTGTAATCTAGGGTCAGCTGAGAATCACACCTGATGTGTGCGCGGGCCTGCAAGGCTTCGAAGGTTAGGACAAAGGGACTGAGAGCAGTCGAATGTCAGACTCACAGGGTCATATTTGATCAACTTATGATATCTAGACTGTAGTGGTTGTGTCATGCTCAGTGACGATTGAATGGCATACCATCAGCTCATTGCTTGTTTCTTCAAGTGTCGCGACCCCTTGGTGTCCGGCTATTCCTTCTCCCTCTCCGTATTTTCTTCAAGATACTAGTTTGCCTTGTGTCATACCTGTGTTTCATTGTGCTTGTTAGAGTAGATATCTCGACTTTCTTGTATCTTTTCTTCATGACCTCAGTTTGTCCTGGCCACGTCACCTCGCCTTTCCCTCAAGCACGGTCTGACAGAAGTGCAGGACTGTCAAAGTTCTCCTTTCCAATCGTATGTGAAAGACGATTTTCACTCGGAGTCGATCGTATTGGACAATCAGTGTGAGAAGGACAAGATCCAATGCGAGCCGCAGGAAGGGAACGTAGAATATAAGTACATGCTTGTCAACCCCTCCGAGGAGAGACTGCACCACCTGACTACACAACTGAAATGGAGAGTTCTAGAAGGATCGGGAGAGGCTATCTATGCGATTGGGGTGATGTTTCTCTCCTGCTCGATGACGCTCCCTGTTGATTGATTGTGCTGGGTAGGTTGAGGACGATGGAACCTGCAAAGGAATCTCAGAGCAAGACCTTGTGTCGTCGCTAGAAACTCTAAAAGAAATGTCGGAACGAGCAGGATGTGACATGGCGATGGTCCGGAAACAGCAGGTGGTTTTGAAGTTCACATTGGAACAGAATGATGGAGATGGAGATGATGCTGTGATAGAAATCAATCTGTGATGGAGATGTCGGATCATAGTTGTAGTTCGTTGACATGAAGCTGACGATAGTGATCAGGGCAAGGAAGGATGGTGTGCAGAGGTCATGGTGAGGCAAAAGCCAATGGACGGACATTTCATCGACATGCGCATTGCTGTTGTCGGCAATGTTGATAGCGGAAAGAGCACGATAGTAGGTGTGTTGACTTCTGGAAAACTGGACAACGGCAGAGGACTCGCACGGAGGTGAGGGCAGCATACGAAGAGGAGGAGGAGAAGGAGGAGGAGGAGGAGGAGGATGACTTTGTTGTCCTGTAGCTCGGTCTTTCGGCATCGGCATGAGCTTGAAAGCGGAAGGACGTCAAGTATCACTCAACATATCATGGGCATCAACGCTAGTGGAGACATTGTCAACTATAGCAGCATACACGCGAAGACAAGCAGCGAGATCGTGAAAGAAAGGTGAGCATTATGTGTCTTGCAGCTGTCGCTCATGGGAACAATGCATTGCAGTGCGAAAGTTGTCACCTTCATCGATCTGGCTGGCCATGAACGATACATTAAGACTACCGTGTATGGAATGACTGGCTGTGTTCCAGACTACACCATGGTGCCTCACCGTGTGTTTCTTGATTCAGTCTGAATGCCTTTGCCTCGGCAGGTTGTGGTCGGAGCAAACATGGGAGTTCAACGAATGACCAAGGAACACCTTGGCGTTGCGCTCGCGTTGAAATGTCCGACATATTTTGTTGTCACGAAGGTGAACAATGAAGAACATGCGATGGGAAGGACTGAAAAACTTCAAGGTTGACATGTGTCCGGACAACGTGCTACAAGGGACTGTCAATGAGCTGTCGAAGATCGTGAAGGCACCGGGTAAGTGGAGGCTGTGGGTTGATGCTCTGTAAGGAAAGTTCTGCAGGAATCCGTAAGATGCCTCTCATTGTGAAGAGTGAGAAAGATGTCATGACTTGTGCTAAGAGCATGGCGAGCGATGCCAGGGTACTCCCTCCCTTGTTTCCTTCCTTCCCCTCGTTCCCTCCTTTTCCTTTCCTTGCCTCTTCCTCCCGTTCCCTACTTTCCTTCTTCCCCTTCCACCACACTTTAGAAGGCATGACGCTCGTTGGGCAGATCGCTCCCATTTTCCTCGTAAGCAGCGTTACAGGCCAGAGCCTGGAGCTGCTGCGACTGTTCCTCAACATCATCCCCGCGCAGAAGACGAAAGGGCTCGACGTGAAGGCACCTGCCGAGTTTCACATCGACGACACTTTCTATGTCGGGGGAGGCGACACAGAAGTGCGGCTGTGCTGATGCTCCTGCAGGTGTCGGGCGTCGGGACGGTTGTAGCTGGCACCATGCTGAGAGGAACGTTGTCGACGAGGAGTAACCTCCTGCTCGGGCCGGACAACAAGGGGCAGTTCCATCCCATCCAGCTGAAGTCCATCATGAACAAGAGCATGCCAGTCAATCAAGTGTCTGCGGGTCAGGTGAACTCTTTGCTCCTTGGCTTCTCCTCTTCATTCGGAGTATCTGCCTCCAGAACTCCTCAGCACTCCTCCAGTCCTCCTCCTCGACTAAGACACTGACGTGACTGCAGTCTGCTACCCTCGCAATCAAGAAGGTCAAGAGAAATCAGATCAGGAAGGGAATGGTCGTGGTGGATGCCAAGTTGAACCCCCAAGCGTGTCAGAGGTGAGAGTGGGAGCAGGGAGGAGAGACGAGTGGGAGCAGGTCAAGGCTGATGCAGATCTTGGCAGGTTCACAGCGGAGGTGATGGTGCTGCATCATCCCACTACCATCGGCATCAACTACCAGCCTGTCGTTCACTCCCTCACCGTCCGTCAGGCCTGCAAGGTCGTCAGCCTCGACCGCGAGTGCATCCGCACGGGAGATCGCGCGCTCGTGACCTTCGAGTTTCTCTTCCGCCCGGAGTATCTCCTGGTCGGAGCTCGCCTGATCTTCAGAGAAGGACGGACGAAGGGTGAGGATGAAGATGTCAATGCAGTTGATGATGATGGATGCCAGGAATCGGGAGGATCATGCACTTACATTACCCTGATGGGACCAGCGTGTCGGTGGATGACCAAGAAAATTCTTCTGAGTCGATGCAATGATAAGCTTGTGACATGTATCATTATTTCTGCTGCAAACCATCAACTCATCCTGTAATAATCTTCTATTCGATAATTTCTTGCAAAGAACACAAATTGAATTCAGACTTCAAATTGCCCGCATGTTATTGTACATCCGAATGATCAGACGGCGTAAAAGCGTCTCAGAGGTGGAGGAGAAAGAGGCCCACCTTTGTTGATTCCTAAAATGCACGAGCATCATCCTCGTAAGCCAGCACAGCTAAGCTGCTGGTAAATGAGGAATAAATCTGGAAGGATTGAAAGTTCTGAGGAAAAGAGTTTGAAACACGTAGGTAAAGCCGCTAACAAGCAAAATCGACAATCTTTACTTAATGTGAGAAATCGACAAAGTAAATCTGTACAGAAAATGAAGAGATTTGAGAGAGAAAAAATGAGTAGTGCCTAAGGGAGAGGAGGAGGGGGGAAAGAGGAAGGAGGGAGGGCGAGAGGGTAGAGAAGAGAGAGATAGACTAGCTAAACACGACTGGTTCCATTTTCCCTATTCCCGGAGGTCTGGTCAGGACTTATCAAGACTTCACAGTCTGGAAGGAGGCATGCTGTGTGCCAGAGGACATGCGCTGCACGAAATGTTCGTAGGCTTCGAGGATCAGATCATTTTCCATGAAGATTCTTTGCGTAGCACGTCCTGTAACAACATCAGACAAGGATATGCAAGGGAACAGCATTCAGCTCCTCTACCTGTGAAACCGGTCCTCATCAGGCTGGCCTCTCGGCAAATTTCTTTATCCGAGTCACAGCCAAAGGAAGATCCATCAGAGTTGGAGGAAATCTCTTCCTCGGAGCTGTTTTCTTCACCCTGACCCTCCTGCCCTGACACCATCTGATTGTTGCCATGCAGGATTCTGTCAGCGAAGGAGAGCGTTTCCAAGCTCCTCACTCCCAAGCCCACCGACTGATCGCTTCGCATCCCTTCTGCATTGGAGGCGGCAGGCTTGGATGCTCCTGCCTTCTGCCTCTTGGGTCCCGTCCGCTCATACTCCAGCCTCTCAGCTTGAGTCCACAGAGGCTGCGTGACGTGCCACCATGTGCGGCGATTCCAGATGTCTCTGATCGCCTTTGCAGTGACGCCATATTTTCGTGCCAGCGCCATGCTTTTTGCCGTCTTTTTCCTCCTTTCTGACACTCGGTCAGCGTAGATGCTCATCACAACATCATCCCGCAAGACCCCCCTTGGACGGATGCGTTGCTGCATGTCGCCAGGTATTGCCGCACTGCCTGTTGCTCCGGTGAGCTGGGCAAGATCTTCTGCGACAAAGGAAGGGTGGGAGGGGAGAGAGGTTGGAAGCGGTTCTGAGCGATGGGGAAGGATCTTGATAGTTGGTAACTTAGAATGGAAGGCTCTCCAAACGAGGGAGCACCCAGCCTGGGGCCAAATGCTTCAGTTCCTGGTTGGGCAAGCAAGCCTTGAATTCGCAAGGATAGAAAGGAGGTTCTTGGTCTATCAGGTAGAGGAGGGAGGGAGCAGAGGAGGCAGAGGAGGCAGTTCCAGGAGTCGCGGATGAGGGAGGGAGGAAGGGCAGCAAGTCTCAACGAAGCTCCATGGCGGGAACAGGGTCAGGTCAACAGGGTAGGGTGGGGTGGTGTTGCTGAATTGAGAGGAGGGGTGGGGGGTGGCGGGGGTAATGATTACATGCAGGTGGATTGGAACAAGGGATTCAAGGGGTCGGTGAGGTCAAGATGGTGGGTAGGGGTGGGTAGGTGTTGCGAGTCGCGCCGGGGTGACGGTACACGCAAGAGGTGGGTGACTGTGAAGGTCTTAAATAGCTTTTCCGGTTAAGAGGGTGTGCATCGGGGATAGGGGTAGGGTAGGATTTAACTGCAACGTAGGGGTCATGGTGCCTTCCGGATCACGAACCTGGGTCAGTCTCCTTTCTCAGGGGTGGGGTACGCCTCGGATACCGGAAACTAGGGTAGGGTGAAACGACTGAATGGGGTTGTGGGGGTAGTAGTTGGTCCTGAAAGATTTGTCCCAGATATTTCGAGGGTCATTTTATGGGGAACGTATGGGTAGGTTAAGGCTAAGTGCACAACACGGGGTAGGTAGGGTTATTCTTCATGGATATGCTACCAAAGGGATGAATCTCAAGATCAGTTATCCTGAGTGGGGTGGGGGGTGGGAAAAGTTCTCCGTTGGGAAGAGAACTTTACTTAAGAAGGGGGTGGGGTAGTGTGTAAAACGAGTAGGCTGAGAACACTGTAAATCCATCCATCACCACCCCCTTCTTGTCCACAAACCACCCCCATGGATGTGAAACAAAAAAAATGAGTGGTACAAATTGGGATATGCGCCTTCTGTACTGTGATGGGTGGGGTCATCTTTGGGAGTAGGTGGGGGTAAGGACCGATCTCAAATGATGTTCAAATGATGACTGGTGTATTCTGATCTGGGGGTAGGGGTAGCTTTTATCAGGTACAAAATGTGATGATTGGAATGGAAGTCGAGGGGTACGGGTCCGTATTAGAACCGATTTGGAGAGAGGTACCAAGGAGTCGGATCAATAGAAGGTGGGGGTGTAACAATGTTTGCTGCAGGGGGGGTAGGGGTACAAACGATCGAGAGATTTCATGGGTCGTACATTTCCCACTACCACCCTACCCCTGAAAAACACCGCTATGTGGGTGGGGTACACCATTGGCTGACTGCCGCGGGCTCCTGTTCTCTCGCCAATTTTGTAAAGTAGAAAATCTCGACGATTCGTATATGACCCACCAGTCCACCACTACCCCTTGATATCCAACGATTAACCCACCCCTTCCCATTCCCGTACCGCCCCCCACCCCCCATTTTTTTCTCCCCTTCTATCTGAATAGTTTGTACCCACTGTGAACTGTGTGGTCATACCCCTGGTGTGTCACTACCCCTACCCACATGGATATCTTTTGCAAGCCCGCAGTGTAAAGGAGGGTGGTACCCGGGGAATGACCGGAACATGAACAAATTTTCACCCCCCAGGACCCCCCTTGGGAATGCCTGGAATGACCTTGGAGTGGGTCGGAAGGGGGTTAAAGGGTTTTTAAAAAATTCCAATCGAAGAAATTCTGCCCCTGATGCCGCTCTTTTTTTTCTTTTGTGTTTCTGTCTTCTGATAGGGGGTAAAGGGGAAGTTTTTTTTTTTTAAAAAAAGGGGGGGGGGGGGGGGGG